AATTTTTTTCATCTTTTTTCCTGCAGGAAAAAACTAAAGTGGTTGAACCCTTGGACTATGAGAACGTGATCCTTCAGCGCAAGGTTCAGATCTACAGTGATCCCCTCCGGGACCTGCTGATATTCCCCATCGAGGATGTATCTGTGAGTTGGTGCTGGCTGTTTCTCGTGCTTGAGTCTCACCCATCTCCAGTCCTGCTTACTTTGGAATATTTCCACTGTTAGCCACATGTTCATGTTGGCTGCGTTTCTGACACGTAAAACTGAAATGACCCACTGGCCATTTGGGACCACAGTATTTATTTAAAGCAAGTATCAAGCCCTGAAGACCCCGTTTGCACTGAAAACATGTTCTCCTTTTCCCTGCAGATCTCAGTCATTGGTCGACAGAGAAGGACAGTCCAGTCAACAGTGCCAGAAGATGCTCTAAAGAAAGCTCAGAGTCTCTTTGTCAAAGAGGTAGGGACAAAAGTCCACGCAACGCCTTCCTTCAGACAAGTAGAGCAGCCTTGGTCAGGCCTGTTCCACTTGAGCTTCCCTCACCCAGCAGTCTGTAGGCTTTCAGCCTTGTGCATGGTTTTGTTTTGCTTGGTGTAGCTTTCAAAGAGCTGCATTGTTTTCCTTTCAGTGCATTAAAACCTACAGCTCAGACTGGCACGTGGTGAACTACAAGTATGAGGAATACTCAGGAGACTTTCGGATGTTGCCATGGTAAGTGTTGTGCTCCCTTGGAATACTAATGCATGGTCACAGGGCTGGGGTTTGATCAGGCTTAACAGAAACAGTTTGCCCTTTCTTCTGATGCCTGTCTCACAAGCCTTCCCTCCAGGGGTTTGTCACTGGGAAAATTAGAGGGCCAGAGGTTCATGTTATCATGACGTTGTCATTCAGCTCTGCCAGAGAGATGGTGATGGGTCATAGATGTCAGCATGGGTCATAGAATCCCAGAGTGGTTTGTGTTGGAAAAGAGCTTAAAGCTCATCCACTTCCAATCCCCTGCCATGGGCAGGGACACCTTCCACTAGAGCAGGTTGCTCCAAGCCCCTGTGTCCAACCTGGCCTTGAACACTGCCAGGGATGGGGCAGCCACAGCTTCTCTGGGCACCCTGTGCCAGCGCCTCAGCACCCTCACAGGGAAGGGCTTCTGCCTTAGATCCCCTCCCTGGCCTGCTGCTCACGCTCTGGGGGTGCAGCCCAGCACATGGCGGGGTTCTGGGCTCAAGCACACGCTGAAGCCAGGTCATGGAGATCTTACTTCGTTACTTCACATCCTATCCACCAGGGTAGGGATCTGGGATGAGGATGCAGCACAGGCTGGCCTTGTGGCAGGATAAATACTGTTTGGGAGCCTTGTTGTCCCCTTGGGCTGATGTTCTCTGTGTGCTGGACACGGTGTTCTCGCACTGAGCACATCTTTGTGCCCCCTGACGTGGAGATGTTGTTGGACACCCTCAGTCAGTGATGCAGTATCGCTGCTTATGCTGCAGTGCTGGGGAGTTGTGTGCTCCAACGCTGGGCTGGGGCAGTGATTCCAGCCCGGGAGCAATCTGGATGGCTCCAGCAGGCACATACAGCTCAGCTTGCACTGGCTCTGCTCTGGCTGCCCATGCTCCATGTGTGTCTGGACCACTGCTCAGGCTGCTCACTTGCTAGCAGCTCCTTACATGCTTTTTCTTTTGAATTGGCTAAAGTGTGTCTGTTCTGAGGCTGTGAAGCAGCAAAGGGCCAACACTGTTGATCAAGTCATATTAAAATCTGTGAATAACCTTGCAGTCTAATCTTGCTGCTTTTTTAGGAAGATAGAAGATAAACTGCATCTCTGTGCTGCATAAATGCAACTCAGCAAAATCTCTGCAGAATCAGACAGCTAACAAGGAGCAAGCTAATTACATACTGCTTGTGCTTAATTTCCATGAAATGCACTCAGAAATCAGCTTTCTCCAGCTGTAAGGGGATCTGTCTTCTGCAGGAGGACAGTTCTGATGTACTCTGTAGTCTGCAGTTTGGCTGCTCCTTCTGGATCCAGCATCAGCTGCTGGCTTGCAGGACCCTCGTGTCCCAGTCATTATAAATAACAATGTGTTGTGATTTCAGCAAATCCTTTAGGCCAGACAAGATTCCAAGCCATGTGTTTGAAATTGATGAAGACTTTGAAAAGGATGAGGTAAGGAGATAACTTACTTTGTTTTTACATATTCCCCTGTAAGTTCTGTTAAAAAGCAGATTTCACAAGGCAAAGTCAGAATTCAGTTCCCAGCGGTGGCTTTCTGATGAGATGCTTTGTGCTGTGAAGACATGCACAAGGCTGAGACAGTGATGTATTTCAGAGTATATTTCAGGATAATCTATTGAAGCCAAGGGTCTCCTGAATTGTCTGCAAGATTAGCCATAATGTAATGTTTTTTACTTGAAGAAGGGCAGCAGGGGAGAAGAAAAAAGGCAGCCAAGCAATGACTAAGTAAAATCCTTCATGTCCAGAATGAAAAGTGGGTAATTAGGTTTCTGACCACGCTGTGATATCAGGGTCCTCCTCTAGCACATAACCGGCACTTCCTAATCAGTCACTCCCACCCCATGCACTCACAGCGTGTCAGTCCTGTTCCCTATATGCTATGCCAATGTTCCAAGGGGTTTGCTCCCTCTGGAAGGTGGCATGATTGCATTCAGCTGGTTGCAGGGAAGGTTTGCAAGCCTGCAGCAATTCCCTGAGGTGAGCTGGTGGCTCTGGCAGTTGGGACATCCCCATCCTGGTGCTCATTTTGGAGGATGCTGTGTTTCTCTGTGCAGGTCATGTTTGCTGAAAAAGGGAGCATTTCTCTGTCCCAAGTGCCAGGTGAAGCCTAACTCACACCCATGACATTAGGAAGTTGTTGTTTACAGTGGAAGAATTTAGCTCAGCTGTTTAAAACCCACATGGCACCAAGCTGCTGCTAAGGACGGAGGAAAAGGGAAGTTTGTTTCTTGTGGAGCCGAAGATTTGAAGGGGCTGTTGGCTGCATGCTCTCCCAGCTGCTGTGTATGTCTCAGCACACCCTGTGTCTGGACTGGGATGGCTTCTTCATAAATGGAAATGATTTTGTTTTTTCTTTTCCTGTGTTGTTGGCTTGCATTACATTGTTAACTTCACATGTTACCTCTTTAATAATATCTAATATGGGCTGGAGACAGAGCTGTGCAGTATGGTATCAGCATGGAATGATAGACTGGTTTGGGTTGGAAGGGAGCTTAAAGCTCCTCCAGCTCCAACCCCCTGCTGTGGGCAGGGACATCTTTTCACTAGAGCAGGTTGCTCCAAGCTCCATCCAGCCTGGCCTTGAACACTGCCAGGGATGGGCATGCATCTGAAAAAGCAAAAGGACAAAAATGTGCTATCAGAACTGGGGGGAAACCTTTTTTCTTTTGGTCAGTGTCACAAATACTCAAGTGAATTTACTGAGATTGGTTTTTTTTTTTGTATTCCAAGAGCTTTGGTAGTTATTTTGTCATTTCTGTGTTTTGGCATGGCCATATCTGAAGGATTCTGTTAGAGTTTCCTGACATTTGCATTAGAATTATGTAATGGAAATTCGAGTAAAAGCAATCTCCTGATGGAAAAAAGTGAACCAATATAAAGGGGAAGTCACGGGTTGTTTTACCCAGGGAAATAAAGCATCAGAAAGTTTACTTTGTCATTGGAAGTTTGACAAGAAAAGTGAAAACCTGCCATTCAGGATGCAGGAGACGATACAAACCACCCCCTTCATAGCTCATGGGCAGAGAGCCCAGGTCCACCTCTGCTGCTGAGTCACTGCAAGTCCAGTCTGGGATCTCATTTCCCTCCCTCCCCAGTGGAGGTCACAGTTGGGTATGGATGGAGAGCTGTGCTCCCTGGCTGGGACCACGGGCTGGAGCAGAGGTGCACATCCCAGCTCACACACCAGGCACAGCCTGTCTGCTCACTTGAAGCTTTCTGATTCATCGAATGTGCAAACAGTTAGTTATGATGTTCCACTTTTTGTGGCCTGGGGGTTTTCACCTAAATGTAGAATGGAGAGTTGATTTATCCAAAGGGAAATGACACAATAGGGCTGGAGTTCTGTATTTTGCAACCTCCTGAACAGACCACTTTGAAAATGTCCTTCTTCCCCCAAGCTTTTGCAACACTGTGTAAGAACCACCGTGCATTTCCTCACTGCAAACTGCTGTGCAGCTCTATCAGTGTAGTTGTAATCTGTCCTTTTTAAAGGGGACCCAAACTAGCCTGTTTTGCCTTTTCTTGGAAAGAGATAACCCTGATTATTTTATTATTTTTTTTTTGTGAGAACACTGGCCGTGTAGCTGTCCATGTTACACATATATTCTACGTGGTGTTTTTATCACTGTAGTTAGAACAGTATTGCTTTCCAGGGTGGAGATAACCCTTGTGTCCAAGGGGAATTTTGTGTGGGAGGCAGATCACCTCCTCTTTTTCACAGAATCACAGAGTGGTTTGTGTTGGAGGGACCTTAAAGCTCATCCAGTTCCAACCCCTGCCACGGGCAGGGACACCTTCCGCTAGAGCAGGTTGCTCCAAGCCCCTGTGTCCAACCTGGCCTCTTTTGCTCTCTTTCAGGATTCCTCCTCCCTGTGCTCCCAGAAGGGTGGGGTAATAAAGCAAGGCTGGCTGCACAAAGCCAATGTGAACAGCACCATCACTGTTACCATGAAGGTGAGTTTGATCCAGCATTATGTTGATCGTGAACAAGGCACGAGGTTAAGCTCAGACCACATCAGGAGTGCAGTGGGTAGGCTTGGGTTTGGATGGGTGTCTGTCCCTCTTGTAGAGTATCCCAAGGTGGACTGGAAAACCCAGTCTGGCAACAGCCTTTTACCTCTTCCCTCCCCAGAAAATAAGACCCATGCACTCCAATTCGTGACAAGCAAGCTGAACAAAAAGGGCTGTTTCAGAAAACCAGGATTGTTTCTGAATGAGCAGCTGAGGCCCAGAAGAGGAAGGCAATTTAAATAACTGAAACAGCTGCCCTGCAAAGAAGACTCCTCTGAATTGATAGTTTCCTTGCTGGTAGGAAATATGTATGGAGACCAGCTTTAAATTGCAAGGCCAAGTCTTAGCTTCAAAAGCAGGGGTGATATCACTGAGGAGATGGAGCTTTACTGACCTAGAAGCAACAGCTGCATTGTCTCCTGTTTAACACTGCACATAATCCAGCATGACATTGCTCACATTTTGCAGTGGAGGTTTCTAGCAGTTCCAGTACAGGTTTTTGCTGTGGCAGTGAGCCCATCTCTTGTTCCACCCTGCAGCTGCCTCCTTACAGCATAGAGAGAATATGAGGGAGTTACCCTCAACTGTGCAGCTGAAGGATGGCTGCAGTGAGGCTGCTTTGTAAGGATACTAGTAAATCTCATAAAGCTCAATTCAACGAGTTCTGCTTTTGTAAGAAGTGGAGCAGGACCATTCATAGTGCTAAATTTAATTGAGTTTTAAAATGATTACTCATGAGCTTGAAGGCAACACACAGAGCAGGATTTTCTGATCCTCTGCTTTTCCAAGCAGCAAGGTTGAAGCCATTTGTGCTCCTTTAACTTCTGGATGAGGTATCATACATGCTGGAAGTAGTCACTTGGGTTTGTTCTTGACTGAGCCTCTTGTGGTATTGTTGGCCTCTGTGCTCAGCACTTCAGACCCACCTTCTAGAGACGTTCTCTGAAGTACACTGGCTTCAGTTCCATTAATAAGATCCACGGAGTCTCTTGTGAAACTCAGATATCAAAGTATCAAACATCAGTAGCTGTTTTCTGAGCTGGTCCTGGTCACTTCTGTATTTTACAAAACGCCTCCTAAGGCACATGCAAGAAATCTGAGGACTTGGAACGTCTTCGGCATTATCACCGCGTTGAGAAGCTCCTGTGCTATGGCAGAAGCACATGTGTCCATCTCGAGTGCTGGCTCTTCCATTGCTGCCACGTGCTGGGTGCTTGGTAACTCACATTGTTGCTAACCATGTGCAGAATGTACTTTGTGGAGAGCCAACCCACGGGCAAGCTCTAAGTAGGGTGCAGCCGCCAGCCTTTATTTCAGAGTAACCTTTCCTTTGCAGGGAGCTTCCCTGGTTTGGCGCAGCTCTCTTGCTGTCTGCTCTGCAACATGTTAGTGTGCTGCATTACAACCAGGGCGTCAGTTTTCTCCTCCCTCCTCTCCCTCCCCTCTCTCTTCCCTTTTCTTCCTGTCTTCCCAAATGGACTTCCCCAGCTCTCTAGCCATGCCTCTGCAATTGCAGTGCTCACCAGCAGTGTCTGTAGCCCAATCAGAGGGGCCATTCCCCTCTGTTCCTAGGTTTCTAGTATTCATTTCAAATGAGCATAGTCTTCTGACAGTTATTTCTGACAGCAGTGCTTACAAGGGGGAAGGATCATAGGAATAGTGTTTGCTGCTTGCTTCTACATTTCCTTTTGAACAGAGTTCAGAAGATGCCAAATGGTTTAGTGTGAAATCCCATATCCACAAGGGATATCAACCCTGTAATATCTAGAGAGAGATCTGTCATGGGTTTCTGTAGCATCCACTGCCAGAGTTTCTGAGATTGATTCAGTGAAGTGCTAAATCAGTGTTTAAGCTGGCTTAATGCTTAGCATACTTAGCTTTCCATGTATTTTTATGCTTTGTTGGACTAAATGTTTAGTTAAATCTTATAAAACAACTCTTGGAGCAGCTCTGTGGCTAGCTAGTCATCTAAATGATGCCAGAGGTTACCATTCAGAGCGCAGTGCTCTCTTCCAGTTCTGTGTGAGTGGTTTTGTTGAACACGTGCTAGTGTCAGTAGTGGAGGGAGCAGGAAATTACTAGTAGTTTCCCGTCTGGGATGAAAAATGCTGTGTTTATTTGTACATCTTCCAGATACGCAGAAGAGTGGAAAATACTCACAATGCTGCTTGCTGCAGCTTCCTTCATGATTCTTCTAACACAGATACCCAGCAACTGTGAAATGCACCCTGCTTCTTACAGCCTCCATATGACAGCATATGGTGCTGTCATAACTGCTGCCAAATGTTCTCCTGAATTATAGTCCAGCACCTTTTGGCTGACAAATGTGAAGGAAGATGTTCAGAGATAGTGAAGAGCTTTGTTTTTTCATAAAAATCAGTATCTCAAACACAGAAACACTTCTCTCAAGCTTACTGCTTTATGAGAATTGAACACTGAGCCAAGCCACTTCATATGAAAATAGGTTTCTGTGTGTATATATATATAAAACACCAAGCAAATCATAACAAAACCAAAAAAAAACCCCAAGCAGTTGAATGGAGTAGTGTCCCTTGGCTTGCATTTGCATGCTAGGAATTTCCACGTCTGTTCCAAAGTCTTCCGGAGAATTGCTTTGTAATTCTAACTGAGGTCTTTATCAAAAAGGCTCTGGCAATACCTGCTCTAGGCTGGGATGAATCTTCAAGCAGTGAGCTGATCTGAATGTACCATGCAGCATTGCTTTGTGAAGATAAATGAGGCTGGAGCCAGCTGAGAGGCGAGCTGGAAGCCCTGGGGCTTTGCTTTAGATGGACAAACTTATAACTACAAGGACATTAAAGAAGATGATGAAATCTCTCTTTATGAAAACAACTTGTACTCAAAGGGGTGAATCCACAACACTCCAGGGTCTTTAGTGTTTCTTGTTCCAGTATTTTCTCAATAGCAGGAGGGCAGATACTGTGGCTGTGGTTTGTGATATACAGCAGAGTGAATACTTGCATGAGCAAGACTTTGTTCTTTTGCAGGTATTCAAGAGGAGGTATTTTTACTTGTCACAACTCACAGATGGTTCTTATATTCTTAATTCCTACAAAGATGAGAAGATTTCAAAGGAATCCAAAGGCTGTATTTTCTTGGATGCTTGCAATGACGTTGTTCAGGTGAGTGTGCTTCCTGCATAGCTGGACATGGGCCGATGCACTGCTAGCTCTGAGACAGACATGCTCTCTAAGGTGTGGGCCACTGAGGGGTGAAGATACAGATTTACAAACTAACCTGGAGCTGGTTAGCTCTGTCAGCTCATCCTTTTAAAAGGTAGGCAAAGCATTCCATGAGTGCCAGGAAGACAGCAAGTGGAGAACTGCTGTCAGAGTAAAATGGAAGCGTTTCATCGTTGCCTCATCTGCTGTCTCCCTGGTCTGTCCATCTCATTTACCTGGTTATCCTAGGTCAGGTACCTTCCAAGACACCAGAGGGTTGTGGCCAGTACTTGGTGTACCTTCCTCCTCTATTTGCTGCTCATACCTGCTTTTTGTTTCTGAAGTTATAGCCCGATACGTCCATGGAAACATGTAACCCCTTGGGACCTACGGCCTGCAAAGGGCTTGTAAGGTTTTAGGAGCAGGCATTTGTACTTAGACTTATTAGAGCTTTGACGTATTAGAGCTTAAACCTGGGTTTGTTCTGTTATGCTGAGAGTGAAACACAGCAGTGGATTGCTGCTGTGCCTTCTGCTGCTGCGCCTTCTGCTGCTGCCTCTGCAGAAGCTTCAAGTGCCAAGTGCCATGGAGCTGGTACAGGGCAGTTTAAGTTACTCACTTCAGCATAGGTGAATTGGAGCTGTGTGCTTCCTGAACAGAGGACCTGTGTCTTTCTGAACAGAGGAAAAGCAGTAGTGCACACACCTCAGTGATGTACAGGACGTACATCAGGTTTGCCTTGGCTTCTGGTTGGAAAATGCTGTTTAAAGGCCAGCAGAACTCAGAGAAGTTGCATTGAACCAGTTGCTTTCAATTAGATGCCTCTAAGCATCCTGGAGTGCAGCATTACTTACTGTCTCAGACAAATCCAGTTCCTGGCTTCTCTGGGTAAACATTAAAGGTCAGACAACAGAAGGAGCTTGCTTGGGCTCGTCAGTGCAGTGTCTGCGGTTCAGTCTGGCTTTCTTCCACTTTCAGAGTAGCTGTCAACCATGGAGCGGCCAGCTGCTTGATTGCAGCTGTGAAGCCCTTTGTGATTGCTGCAGGAGAGGCTGCACAGTATCAGCGAGGGTGCTGACATTGTGTTTCCTGGTATTTCAGTTCAGGATGCTTCCACAGAGAGGAACTGTGTGAGTTGCTGAGCAAAATGTAATACAAATCTTTCTGGTTCTTATTTGTTTGTTCAGTGTCCCAAGATGCGCCGTTACGCGTTTGAACTGAAGACGATAGACAAGTACAGCCACTACCTGGCAGCTGAAACTGAGCAGGAGATGGAAGAATGGCTGGTCACTCTGAGGAAGATCATCCAGAGCAATACTGAGAGTTTGGTGCAAGAGAAGAAAGACACTGTGGAATCTGTGCAAGGTCAATTTATAAATAAGCACCTACCTTCACCCCTGTGCAGCAGGATGCGAGCAGTGTGCTTGGAGAAGTGTGTGTTTGTCTTCCTGTATTAATAGCAAGAATTGTGGCTGACACATGATACCATGCAAAAGAGCTTAGTATAATGGAGACAATAGTCTGAGGAATAAAAGTGGTGGGAAACATGACCCTTCTTCTGGATGGGAAATCCATGGCAAATTTTCAAGCCTACTGGAAAATTGGCTCTGTGCTGGAGTTCTGCTTTGGAAAGACCTAGCAGGCTGTAATAATACAATCTGGTACTGGTAATGTATGGAAAAATCTTACTCCTGAGGAGTGGAAAAGTCCCCATGAACTGTTTCCGTGCTATTCTAAGCAAATACTGCAGGATGCTTTCTGGCAGAGCAGTGCTTCTGCAGTTCTGAACATCTGGTTTTTGTGTCCTTGCAGATGATGAATCAGGCACACAGGGAAAATCAGAGAACATCCTGGAGAGCCTGGAGAGGAGCATGCATCCAGAGCTGATGAAGGTATTGTGTTTGCAGAGGACACTCTCCCAGCCCATAGATAGTTGTCTCTACCAGGTCTATAAAAGGGGTTTTCCACTTTCTGTGTCTTCAGCTCTGGGGGGACCATGCAGGCTCCAAGTGCTGGTAGGGTCCCTGTTCTCTCATCTGTCTCATGGATGGAGCTCCATGATTTGAGGCTGCATGCTCCTTGCTTCTAAGTGGGGGGCCCTTAAGGAAGAACCAGAGTTAGAGCAAATGAAGGGCTGTTGTGGTCAACAGTGCTCATTTTTTTCAGCAGGGGTGGTGGTCCAGGCCATGAAGGCAGAGGGGCAGTTAGGTGGCAGCAACCTCCTGTTTATGATGCAGTGCGGTTGCCTGCTTCTGTCTGGTTTTTCAGCTGGCAGAGCCATATTGCTGTACTGCTATTGCATAGTGTTGGTGGCTGCAGCTGAGAGAAGTCCACAGGAGGATGATCAGGGGCTGGAGCACCTCCCGAATGGGGACAGGCTGAGAACATTGGGGCTGTTCAGACTGGAGAAGAGAAGCTGCGTGGAGACCTCAGAGCAGCTTCCAGTGTCTGAAGGGGGCTGCAAGGATGCTGGAGAGGGCCCTCGATCAGGGGCTG